GCAAGAATGCAATAAAGTTACAATAAATATCAGCATACTTATTTACTCACATAGTGTATGCTTATGCACGCTACAATAATGCAACTGGTACAGGAGGATTGTTTTTCGGAGGAAAAGAGTTTACTTAAGCTTCAACAACCTCTTAACAAAAAATGCAAACTATACAAATTAACGCCATACGTAGACAACGAAGAAATTATTCGTGCCAGTGGTCGCCTGGACGAAGCCATATATCTGCCTCTTGAAGCTCGACGCCCTATTATATTGCCGAAACGCCATGTCGTCTCCGAACTAATAGTGAAACACTATCATGTTGCCTACAAACATCAAAATCAAGCTACCATTATCAACGCTGTACGCCAAAAGTTCTGGATAATTGGTGGCAAGCCACTTTTGAAATCAGTCCAACGCAATTGTATGGAATGCCGCCTTGAAGCCGCCAAGCCAGCGCCACCGTTAATGGGTCAGCTCTCAGTCGACCGTATAACGCCGTATGTACGACCGTTCTCATACACAGGTGTTGACCTGTTTGGACCATTACATGTTACTATTGGTCGTCGCCGTGAGAAGCACTGCGCTGTCATATTCACATGCTTAACAGTACGTGCTGTGCATATAGACATCGTCGATAGCTTATCAACTGATGCGTTCCTAGTATGTTTCCGCAGTTTTATTAACCGTCGTGGTACGCCAGTCAGAATGCGTAGTGACAATGGCACCAACTTTATTGGGGCACAAAGAGAATAATGTGCTGATAAAAGGTTTCTTGATGTTAATGGTATACGTGAGGAAGCCACTCAACTTGGAATTGAATGGATATTCAATTGTCCGCAGAATCCCAGTGCAGGTGGTTGCTGGGAGCGCCTTATAAGAATGATCAAACGTTTATTATTCAAGTCAATCAGAGAAGAAGCGCCGAAGGTGGAAACGTTAAGGGCAGCACTAATTGAAGCTGAAAACATTATTAACAGCCGGCCGCTTACAGACATTCCTTTGACGCACAGCGAGCAGGAGCCACTCGCACCAAATCATTTCTTGTTAGGCTGTGCCAATAGTACACAGACACGCTATAATAATGCCATACCTATAAGCCTCGGTAAACAGTAGCATATCCTCCAAGATATAAACAGCAGTTTGTGGAAACAGTGGACTACGGAGTTCTTGCCTCAACTTTTTCGACGCCCTAAATGGTGGAAGGAGGTGGTGCCCCTCAGGGTTGGAGATTTTGTGATCGTTTCTCACAATCTGCTACCAAGAGGTCAATGGCTCAAGGGTCGAATTGTTGAAGTGTTTCCTTCCACGACCGGTCAGGTTAGATCAGCCCGCGTACAGACCAAGAATGGTATCCTAACTCGTCCAGCCACCAAGCTAGCCGCTTGTCAGATAAGTGAATCTTGTGAAGATTCACGGGAATGTAACAGTAAAAAAGCAACTCTGAGTAATATTGAGCTGAATGCAGCCCTGCGAGGCAGCATGAAAGGTGAATGACAGTTGATACGAAGCAGAGGAGACAGAAAGAACGGAAATGACACACAAATGTGAAACACGCTCGTTGCGGGTAAAAATAATATAAATAAATTAATAATGAAGTAATTGTAACGAATAGAATAGAATTATTTGTCAATAAAATATTTTCGGTATTTACATAACCGATTACACATAGAACGTTAGAAAAATTTCTCTGTTTGTTAAAAGAGAGCAATTTGACGCTAAGAATGTGCAAATGCAAATTTCTTAAAACGGAACTAATACACCTAGGCCACGTTATTGATAAAAATGGAATAGCACCAGGTAATCAAAAAGTAGCTGCAATTAAAAATTTTAAAGAGCTAACCAACGTAACAGAAGTACGACGCTTCTTGGGTTTGACTGGATTTTTCCGCAAATTTGTTCAGGATTACTCAATCATCTCAAAACCAATCACGATGTTGCTACGAAAATCAGAACAAGAGTTCGTATGGGGTGTTGAGCACAAAAATGCATTTGACAAACTTATAAATATGCTATGTAGCGGTCCGGTTCTAGTTCTGTACGACAGTAACGCTGAACATGAAGTGCATACCGATGCAAGTAAAGTTGGTCTAGCCGGTGTATTATTTCAAAAGAACGAAGGTAAACCGTGAAAGTCAGTTTTTTATTATAGTCGCCATTGTACGGAAGCAGAAAGTAGATATCATAACTACGAACTCGAGGTGTTGGCAATGGTTTAAACTTTGCAGCGATTCCGAATTTACCTACTTGGTAAACATTTTTGCTTGGTCATGGATTGCTCTGCAATCGCAACAGTAAAAGCTAATAAGGAGCTAAAGTCTAAAATAGCTCGATAGTGGCTCAAGTTACTTCCAAACGTAGATACATTAAGCCGTACTCCCAATCAACCACCAAATGAAGTAGCCTGCCGGTTTTATAATGAAGATCACTGCTAATATTGATGATTGGCTTCTCACAATGCAGCTACAAGATAAAGAGCTTTTGAAATTAATTGCTGTTTTAAACGGAGATTTAAACTCCCCACAAGAAAAACAAATTAAAAATGAATACAAATTACAAAATCATCGCTTATATCGACGTGCCGCTGAAGGTCTACAATTTGTTGTACCAAAAGCTGTAAGATGGAGAGTTGTGCAGTCCTGTCACGATGATATCGGTCATTTTGCGCTAGAAAAGACTATCGAGCATATTAAACAAAATTTCTGGTTTCCGAAGATGCGAAAATACGTAAAGGATTATTGTTTACTAAAATTGTAAACAAATATCAGCTGTTGGACTTATAATTTAAATTTGAAATTTAAAAGCACATACTTCAACAATAAAATATTTAGCAATTGTGAAATTTAAATTAATATTCAATTAATATAACATTGGTGTGTGAATTAATTAAATAATGGACTTTTTGATAAGAAGACTTTTTTTTCAGGTGGTGTGAGAGATTCACGGAATTATTTACTTCGGAAAAGAAAATGTTTGCGGAATTCTACAGACCCCTTCGCTATATCTGATGCGCGTTTTATTGAAATATTTCGTCTTTCGAAATATTTATGTAAGCTTTTCATGGCAGAAATAACTCCGTACATGGTACCGAGAAGTCGATCAGATGGAATTTCGAGGGAAATACGCGTACTTGTTTGTAACGACACTTTTTGGTAACGTTCAAAAATATTTAGTTTTTGCTGGGGTATCCTCAGCCGTCGTCCAGAGTCAGAGTCATTACAATGAATTTATTTTTTTCGGGGACGTAGGTTTTAAAAAAAAAAAGAAAAGGAAACGTTCGTTTACTAGATTGAATTGTATAGTTTATTTACTTTAAAAGACAATATTCCAAAAAAAATTATTCCAACGTATGAGAAAGTTACTTCAATTACAATGTGATTATAAATAAATTTATAGTTTATTTACTTTGAAAGACAATATTCCAAAAATTATTCCAACGTATGATAAAGTTATTTTCATTATAATGTGATTATAAATAAATTTATAGTTTATTTACTTTGAAAGGCAATATTCCAAAAATTATTCCAACGTATGATAAAGTTATTTCAATTACAATGCGATTATAAATAAATTTATAGTTTATTTACTTTGAAAGATAATATTCCAAAAATTATTCCAACGTATGTGATTTTAATTCAATAAAATAAGAACAAGAAATGTGCATCTTTTTTAGCTCAGGCTCTTGTTGTATTTCCTATCGTACTTGTCGATGAGATCTTCACTTGCAGTGGTTTCCCGAATTTCCTCCTCTGTTGCCTAAGGCCGACTCCTTTTACACCTCTGTAAGTTACTTTAATTTTACAATTTAAAATTGGAAAGGAAACTGATTACAAATCTATCCTAGAAGAAGAAAGATATAGTACAACTCGGTATGTATTATTAAAGGAAGATATATATATATGTTTCATAGACATATAATTATGGCCGTTGTCGTAACACCAACGCAGGACTTATATATTTCTGCTATATGTTTCATAGACATATAATTATGGCCGTTGTCGAAACACCAACGCAGGACTTATATATTTCTGCTATATGTTTCATAGCCATATAATTATGGCCGTTGTCGAAACACCAACGCAGGACTTATATATTTCTGCTATATGTTTCATAGCCATATAATTATTATAATTTTTCGGCGTAATACCACCTTGACGAATGTTCATCGACTCGCACCTGCTTCAAAATTTCGCTGTCTTAAATACTCCTACGCCGGAGCTTTCGTCTAGCGTATTTTAAATTCTTCCGTTCGTTTACCTGCTGTGTTTTGTAGCGTAAACCGCTGTGCTTTTATTCTTGGCCGTTTAGCCGCTGTGCCTCTGTGTTTTCGTCGTGTTTTGTTTTGACAGTTTCGTATATATACAAAAACGTGCAACATAAAAATAACCATAATTTATTAAATATTTCTGTGTAGTATTTTTATACATATATATTTTTTTTATATAAAAAAAATAGTAAATAAAGTTTTTTTCAAATAATAACTACTTGCTTTTTAAATTTTTCTCTTTTTGTTTAAGAACTTTGTGTAACTTTGGTGCATGTAAGTGGAAATTTAGTGGACAAAATTTCCGTCCTTACATGTTGCATTGGGCTTTTTTGCTCAAGGTAAGTTGATATTTAATAATTGCAAAAAAAGTGAATCAATTATGTTAATTTATAGGATGTTATCAGCGTTCTGTGGGCCAAAGCTTTTTGTTAAATGTTTCTCAGGCAGTTGTTAGTAGATGCGTTAAGGAGGTTGCAAATATAATGAATCGGTATTTTGTAGTAAAGTACATCAAATGGCCCAGAACAATTCAGGAATTATGCACTACAAAAGAGAAATATATCTTCGAAATCTTGTGTTAAAATACAATATAGTTAATCGACAATTATTTGCAGATTTTATGAAAAGTTTCGGTTTCCAGGCGTAATTGGTGCAATTGATTGCACTCATATAAAAATTAAAACCCCTAACTTAGCTATTGAGCATGTGTATGTCTGCAGAAAAGGAGGACATTCGCTAAATGTTCAAGTGGTATGATTCAAATTTAATTTATTTACATACTATAATAATAGGCATTAATCTTAGGTATGCGATTATAATCTAAAAATTTTAGATTGTAATGCTCGCTTCGGCGGTACTGCACATGATGCATCCATATGGAGAGCCAGCGCCTTACGAGTGCTTCTTACTCGAAAGTACAAAAATGGGGACCGAAATTTCCGGTTAATAGGTAAAACTTGATTGTACATTAATTTTTTTGAGAAACTAATTCTGTTTTTGTTTTTAGGAGATAGCGGTTATCCCCTCTTACCCTTTTTGATGACACCTGTTCGAGGAAATACTTTATCGACGGCACATAACAATTATAATGTGCAACATCGAAAGGCGAGAAATTGCATTGAGCGTTGTTTCGGATTATTAAAAAGTAGATTTCATTGCCTTAGCAGCGAAAGAACTTTAATGTATGAT